TCTTTCTACTATACGTATTAATGTTAAACTTAGCTAATAGTTTATCGATATATAAATCCTATACGAGCTATAACTTACGTAGCTTTCGATCTCGTACGATTCGTATATCGAGAAACTAGTTAACTTCTAGTATAATACGTAGAGTAAATCGCTCTTATAGACTCTATAGAATTATATTAACTCTCTCCTTAGACTTACGCTTATAGTATAGGATAATATCGTCTATATAGAATAGTCTATATAGAATAGAATAATAAGAAACTCGTTATTAAGAATATAATTAACTTCTAGTATTTAAGAAAGATCTAGTATCTTAAGAGTATTATTAAGAGTATTATATTATAATAAAGAGCTTTACTTAAGGTCTTAGACTTACACTTATAGTATAGAATAATATTATCTATATAGAATAGGATAATAAGAAACTCGTTATTAAGAATATAATTAACTTCTAGTACTTAAGAAAGATCTAGTATCTTAAGAGTATTATTAAGAGTATTATATTATAATAAAGAGCTTTACTTAAGGTCGTAGAGCGCCTTAAGTAGACGAAGTATTATATTTAGTACTTTAAAATCTTCTAAGAAACGTATATAGATTTTCTTATCGATTTTACTATTAAGAAATACATTAATAGTATTAAGTTATATAAAATCTAGATTATAAGCGGCCGTAATAGCTATAATAGTATAAAAGGTATTAAAAGTAAGAGTAGCTATATAGATATCTTTAAAGATAAGTTATAAGTCTTCTTAAATATATATATATATCTTAAACTTACTTAAGTATCTATTATTATCGAATTTATATTTAAATATCTAGATAAGAGAAAAAATATTATATCTATTTATATCTTTAGTAAAGACTAGTATAAAGATTTACTTACGTTTAAGTTTCTTATATTTAACTCTCGCGACTTTCTTAAATTTCTTTCGAAATAGATAATTAGTAAGCTATTTCTATAATTTTAGTTTAAATAGAAGAGTATTTCTATATACTCGTTAATAATCTTTTTAATAGTAAAGGCGGCGGTAAAGACTAAGTAGTACGTTAATAGATCGTTATTAATACTATTATCTTTAAGCGTAGCGACGTATATCTATTTTCTTAGTTTCGAACGTTTAAGTTATCTTATAGTAATTATATTTCTTTTATCGAAATCTACTAAGATATTAATATATTAAGAGGCTTAGATTATCTTATCTTAGTCTAGAGATATCTAGCGAGATAAGTCTTCTATAGTAGTCTTCTTAAATATATATATTTATAGTTCTTCTTTCTAAATTTCTTCTCTTCTTTCTTATTCTCTTATTAAGAGGAGATTAATCTCTACTAGAGGCTAGTTCTTTATAATAAATAAAGAAGAAGAATATAGCGATATTAACGAGAATACGGCGCTATTAGAGAAGCTCTCTTATTTAGGCTCGTATCTCTCCTAGAAGTTCTCTTAAGTAGGGGCGTCCTAGCGCGCGGCTCGAGCGGTAAAGTTCTTTCAACTAGTAGCGCGGCGAGATTTCTCGATACTTTCTATTATAGATCGCGAGCCTTATAAGTCTACGATTACTTCTATAATAGCTATCGACTTTATAAATATCGCTAGTTAAGAAGAAGAAAAAGAAGATTTAGATATAGCGTTAGAAGTAAGATATATATCTATAGAATTACGTATAGTTAGCGCTTTACGTAATTTAGCTTTCTCGATCTCTAATTAGCTAGAAATTAATATCGTTTAAGGCTTCTAAGCTCCTAATTAGTCGGAAGTAGTTTTCGAATAATTCGACGCTAAGTCGTTTTTAGAATTAATTAAAATTATATCTATTTTAGATATCGATTCGTATACTTCGATATTTAACTAAATCGACTTAATCGATAGTAACTTATTATCTTTATATAGAAGTAGTAAAAACGTCTTATTATCGTTAAAGATAATATCTTATATTTATATAACCTAGTCTTTATCGGATTACTAGATTTAAAAGATATTTATTAAATTATATCCGATAAGATACCTAATCTACACGTATTATTAAAGTTTATCTTTCTATAGAATATTATACTATAATACGTAGGCTTTATAGCCGTATACGTATATATACGAGATATCGAGTCGTCGTCCGTATAGTATTTCGAATAGTATTTTCTAGCTAAGTATACGAAACGATAATCGATTTAGAATATATTCTACGATTTTTACTATCTTAGACTATAGATTCTTTAGTAGATTTATATATAGATATATTATTCGAGTTATATTAATAAGTAATCGATCTACTCGCTTTATATAATCGTTTTAAGTAGAAGTATACGATATATTTCGTTTAGTTATTAGACCTCTATCTCGTACGTTATTATTATAGATTTTCGATAGTAATCTTTCTCTATCTATTCTAATAAACTTAATATTATAGCTATATCTTATATAAATTATATTTATAAAGTCTTAAACTATTTAGAATAATTAATACTTTTATAGATATATATAGACGAAATATATTCTTATATAGTAATCTCTAAAATAGCTAATCTATTCGTCTTCGTTATAGACTATATTAAGGAGTATTAAGTTGTACGAGACTCTATTAAATAGTCTCGTCGCTAATTCTTCTTATAATAAGTTTCGAGAGATAATCTAGGTTACTTTTAATAATTAATAAGGCTTATATTAAATAGGAGTAATCTTCTTAATCTTCGGAAGTTCGATTACTATATCTAGTAGGTACTAGAGCGCTTTATATTCTATATACTCTATAACGGCGTATAGTCTATCTAGAGAGTCCTTATAAGGAGGCTTACTCTCTTAAGCTACGGTAGCGGTAGTAGTAGAAGTCTATCTTATCGACGCTAACGCTATATCGGAAGCCGCCCGCGTATAGAGTATTACGAGAGAAGCTAACGGTCTTATAATAAAAGCTTCTCTAACTAATCCTAATACTATAGCGTTAGAAGTAGTCTTTAGGGTTTTAGAAGAAGAAGAAGAAGAAATAAATATAGAGTCGGATATATATAGTTATTAAGATATTAAGATAGGGTCGTTAAAGAGTAGGCTGCGCAACGGGTTGGGTAGGGCAGGGTTTTGGGCACCTACCGCCCGCCCAGTTAACCCATTAGGGTTTTTAAAAAAAGCGCTACCCTACCCGCGAGGGTTTCGGGTAGGGTAGGGTACCCGACGGGTTTTGC